CTTAATTTCGGATACTTAGTAATGTTAGGGGTTGCTTATTTTCGGGGGTTGCTTATTTTCGGAAGAATACGGTAATAAAGTAAGTTGTTTATTGCTTGGCTAACTTCTTGAAATATGCCATCATGATGTTAATCAATTTTTCCACCTTTATAGATGTTCCAAAATAAAACGGACATATTGCTCTTCTTGTTATACATCGGCATTTTGATCTTTGCCGAGAAAATCACAGACCATCATCACGCGTATAATAGGCGCAGTGAAATTACTTAAATCTCGTCACATGCCATAACATCACGCTCCTCAATAAAATTTGGCGCAGTATCGTACCGGTAATAAAAAAAATCGAATTAAATGCAGAATCATGTGACTTTAAAATGTCAGTTGCGACAATCGATTTCTGTATGCGGTTTTGCCTATATAATAATATAAAGTGACAACTATGTCGACTTCTGGAGAAGAAATGTCTGACGAATCATTACTACCATTACAGGCTGAAGAAACAATCGAAAAATTTTTCAAAAAAAATAAAACCTGGTCATTACTTAAATTTTTGAAATTTAGAGCAGAAAATGACGATTTTACATGCAATAGGAGAAAGGAACATGGTTTATACAAAAAAGCTTTAGACGTATTGGCGGTAAATAACGCCCAAGCTCAAGATCTTCTTCCCGGTTTTAAAGTTAAGTATATGTTCGTTGCCACTGGGTGAGATGAATAGGTTCAAGACTAGAATACGTTCCGGTCCCGAGACATTTTACGTGACGTATTGACAAACCCCGAGTAGCTAGCTACTACGCACTGGCTGGTGAGAGTGGAGGTCGTTTCCCCTCGGATGTTCTTGAATAGACATATGTTACTGCCATAACGCAACCGGATGCCTACGTACCAACTGGTTATTCACAAGCTATGGTTCACTCATCTTAACCTTTGTTTTGTTGGTTATATGGGTTATATGGTTATATGGTGATCTCAAAAAATGATATCTGATATCTGATCTTACAATAATGTCTGTTTTCTTAACAAAAAGAACGAGAAGTCTTCTGAAGGTGTCATTAATTTCTGGGCAATGATAGAGAAAAAGTGTAATGAAGAAAGAATCGAAAAAGAACGGGTAAGTTAATATTAGGGCGCTGACATATATTAGCTAATATTTTAGGGGGTGGGGGGTAGCAGGGGATCTTAGGTTACACATAAACTTATAAATCACGTGATAAATGTAATATCTTATTTTATTAATACT